AGCCGCTACCGCGTCTCCTGAACCATTTTTAACGTGAAAAGAATTGAATGTTAATACAGTTTAAGACTGAAACATTACATTTCTATTACAAAAATATTCATCATACGAGGTAAATGAACATAGTTATGAATTCATTTTGACAGTTGACACATACCGTAATATCTCGTAGTTGTATTGATATTTTTTCATGTTGTGATATTAATTAATTATTTAATGTACAAATAGGTGTAAAAGAAAAAATAATTTCTTAGTAAAAATATTATTACATATTTGTATGATAATCTCGGTTAAGAATGTCCTCGTAGCACCTCTATCACTTGTCATATCATCGTGCCTGAGCGCGCGAAATGTTAGCTCTGTAATTAACCAACTTTAATCGCTATTAATTTAAAAAATATTATAGTCTCGACATTTTCATATTAGGATTTTCGTCTTAGAATATTTCAAAGAATCCGCACTTAAAAGAAAATCCGCGGGTTTTGGGACACCTTATATATGTATTTACTTTTTTGGATATCATTATCAATCTTTTTGTTTTATTTGTTGTTTTCGTATTTTAAATGTTTTTTATTTTGAAGCAAAATTTACAAATAATACAATATATACAAATTAAACATATTTTTTGACATAGGTTTTAATGGAGCTAAAAAAATGTAATACTTGGGAAGAGAGATATAATATTTTCGCCAAACAATTCTTAACCATTAATACATCACTCTCTCATAAAAATTTAAAAACTTTGTGTACAACAGTATATAAATGTTCATCTGCTGTTCTGCAGTATGATCCTTATGCGTTACCGCCTATCAAATCTCCTATAATATTGTTAAAACCTACAAATCCGTTTCCTGTACCCATGATTGAGGACAATTATGGTTTGCACAAGGTATTTAAAAAACATATACGTTTATCAGTATGTGACAAATTAAACTTAATACAACTTTTTATTAACGGTGTATATTTATTTAAGATAACTCAAAATGTAGTAAAAGTACATTACATCGAGGGTAATCATATTACTATCATGAAGAACGAGAAAGTGTCAGCAGCAATTAATGGAGAACCACCATTCATATTTTAATATTTTACTGTAAAGATCGGAAG